AGTAATGAACATAACCCCGTTCAACATCATCTCTGTTTTCAGGTTCATGCTTCCTTTACTTTTTGTTTATGTCAATGTCCAATTGCAACATTTTTTTTTTAATAAACATGTGCAGGGTGCTAAACTTAGCTAGGATGGCGGGTTCAGCCGTTGTGACCCATCACCATTCTAATAAAAATAAGGTAATATATATTTTGGTAAAATGAGTTAGAAAGGTGAATCCATCATATTTTCATGTGTAGCAAGTTAACTCATTTAAAAATAATTAATTTTTAAAAAAAAAATGTAAATTAAATAAAAATAAAAAAGAATAAAAAAAATACTAAGACTATATTGAATTCCACAATAGCACATATTTTGTAGGTCTTGACATAATAAATGTTATAGCTCTTCATCTATGATTTCCATTGTAACATCTCCGTCTCGAGCCGGTTCAATTAACATACATATGATAAAACAGAAAACAGCGGAAGACTTAACTTCTGAAAATACGAGCTAACTTTTTCTTTTTCTTTTTAAATTCTTATTCGTCGTAAACGAAAAACGGGCAGAGTTTCCTCTATAAATCGGACAACTGGGGATTTTCCAATCCCTCACAGAAGCATTTCCTGATAAACAGTTTATACAAATATAATCAAATGCCCATCCATGGGCGCATGCATAACTTGGCTCAGTGCCACTATATCTAACAGCATGCAATCCAACACGTAAACATATCTGAATACTACCTCATCATATAACGTGCCTGAATACCCAAATGTACATGCATCAAAGCGACAGACATGTACAAAACATATACAGGCCATATACACAATAAAGGATCAATATCATGATCCATCAAATGCGAAAATACTAAAATACATCAAACACTCCAAAAAGGTAGTAGCCTACAGCCACTCAAAATCCAATCTGTCAACTGCCTCAGCCACGTGTCGTGTCCCTGCCTAGTGAGGACTCACCGGGAATCTGGGCACCTGAAAATATGTCCCCAAAGAGGGGTGAGATTACAAATCTTAATAAGCTCCAGGTTTATAGAGAATTCTCCATACCCCTGGCTCACTCCTGCATGAAAGTCAGATACAGAGTATACAAATACAACATATAACAGATATCATAACAGAACAGAGCATATATCCATATCATATCAGAGATGTGCGCCGTCATTCCCAAGGGAGGACCCCAAGCGGAAATCAACGCACGTGTTCCCGAGGGAGGACCCCAAAGCGGAACCAGACATATCAGAGGCGTACACCATCAGTCCCGAGGGAGGACCCCAAAGCGGACATCCGGGTACTATACAATCAATGGCCAGAGATTGTTACAGAAATCATATTACAGAAGTCATATCAGAGCAAAACATATCATGTTATCAAATAACTCTATATGAATGCATCTATACAAAGCATCTAAATCACAGTCATACAGTCCAACCATAGTTCACTAACCATGGTGGAGCACTCAAGCAGGAAAAGACTCCTTAAACATAGAGCTTACCTCTTGAAGCTTTACCAATACGCTTACTTGTGGAACAAGTTACTTTTATCGCTTCAAGAGATTTCCGATCCTTCTCAATCCCTAGGCACACCTAGAGAATAATTTACAATGCATCAATAAAATGATGCAATACCATAATTATTTCATAAGCATACATTTTATCGCTTATTTTCCTTTCTTTGCATTTTTGCCAATCCTATGCCAATACACAAGTCTAGACCTCTTTATAACTGTTGGTGTTCTTTAATTTAATCAACCATTCCCTTAGGAATTTTCAACATAAATCATGCTATTTTTCTTCAAAACTCATCACCTTTATACAATTTATTACAACACATTTTATTTAAAATAAAATGTACAAAATATATCCCTAAATACCCTATAGGTCGAATCCTACAAGGGGAATTTCCAAAGATCCTTCTCTTTTACAATACATTTTCGTTACTTCATTACAACTTGCAAACACCTAGGAATGCTTCCACTAAATTCCTATTTTGAGTTTAGACACCAAGTCCTTTTTACTTAGGCATTCTTACTAACTCATCCATTTTCACCCATTTCCAACACACTATACCTTCACAATACATAATATAATTTTTTTCCACAATAACTCCTACTCACTCCATGATGGCCGAAACCTAGGAGGAAGATGCAATAGGGCTTTTAAATTTTTATATCACATGTGGATGCTTACTCAAGACTATAACTTCCTAAACAACAATAATCCATCATAAATTTCACATTCTAACATCAATTATTTCCCAACAAAATATGCTCATCATTAACAAGACTCAAATCACCAAAAATATAACCATAGGGTTAGAGGTTTCTTACCTATAGTTGCCAACCCAAGCTCCAAGGAACAAAACCCAATCTTTTCTCACTCAAAAACCCCACTTTTCCACAATGATGAATAGTGTCACGAATTGGGGGTGAGGAATATTTCTCTCTACAAGCAAAACCAGCCCAAACAAAGCGGTGGAATGGATTCCTTGGTTGATTTCCTATGAATTTCGTGTATGGACTTAAGGATTTGGTTGAGTGTGGAGGGAGAAATCAAAGGAGAAAGAAAACTTGAAAACCTAGCCTTCCATGGAGGAGAGACTCGACCTTGAGGAGAGAGAGGGAAGGTGAGCTGATGTGAATAGTAACTTTTGGAAGGAAACTTAAGTTATAAGCACATGTGGCTTTCTCAATCGGATGTTTTTCTATCGCGTATTTTAACTTAACGGACCCGGAACTAACTTATATCTACGGAGATATTTTTATTTTTCTAAAATCATTTACATTAATTTTAATTTGTTACTAAACAATATTCATAATTCACAGTATGATTTTTGCACCGTTTTAACGAAATGCACTGTGAATCACTAACTGTACTTCGCTCACTTCTGAACTTAACTTATAAACTTATCATCTTCTTGGGCCTATTTTGACTTGCTTGGCATATATTGGACTTTCTTATTCTTATTTCATCAATTATTTATTTCTGGACTCTACCGGTTGCTTAAACAGCAGTACAAAATACCCGGTAGAAACACTATTCACGAGATTTTCACGGAAAGTGCCAGACTATACAATTTTTCGTTCTGAACTCATATTTGTCGTCAGAATTATCAAATTATGTCTCTAAAATTATTTTGCTCTTTTTAAGCTCTACCGGTTAATTCACAAAACTGTAAATTCTCCGGCAGAACGCACTGTTCATAACATAGTCATGATTACAGTCAAAATACTCGAAATCGCTCACTGAATCTAATTATGGCATTTAAATCCTTAAATTAAATCTCTAACTAAGATTTACCAGTTAGGGTCATTATATCCATGAATGTAAAGAACATCGAAATCCATATTTTGTAGCTCAAGTTATAACCAAACTACTGATACTAGAGCATTCTACGATAGCATTCATGTAGTAACTTTGAGCTCAATTTTATGAACTTATTGGTCCTAAATGAGCTCAAGAGTGAGGTGAATTGAGTTATGTGAAATTTTTGGATTTAAATCAATGTTAATTTTTCAATAATAACTTTGACCAATAACAAATAGATAATAAAAGTAATAATGTGGGAAAAACTCCTAAAGAAGGAAAAAAAATCCATGACTCCAATTTGAAGCGACAAAATGTGCGAGCATTGAGAAGGAAAATACAATATTTGGAGCGAGAACATGTGCAAGCATGGAGCAAAAAAATCCATGATTTGGAGAGATACCTTGTGTTGGGCATGATTTGGTCTGCGGAAGCGCTAAGACTATTGCATGTGGTTTGGAATGTATTAGATTGTCGTCATTTTAGTTTAATAGAAGCTTACCTCTTGTAGCGCAGATTTGAGATAATCCCCTTGTGCAAGTGTGGCTTCTCGAACCGGCTTGATTAGCGTTCCAACACGAATAACCACCTAGTTAAAGCTGGCTTATGGCATACCTTCACAACTGTCCTCAAAGGAAAATGGGGCTGGTGTATTGTCACTCACTCACTATTAAAACTAATCTTACTTCAGCAGCAACAACAACAACAACAACAGTTGCCTAGGGGATGATGACTAAAAGTGAGAATATATATGGTTACCAAGAAACCCTAGCCCTAAGTTTCTTGGACTCTAAGTTTCTTAGGCTCTTCTCTTACACTGAGTCCAATTGGGCTTTTAAACGAAAGAGCATAAACCCAACAATCTCTCACTTGCTCTTGAGTACAAACTTGATCTCAAAGCCCAAGATCATGTAACTCACTAGTCATCATCAACAGATAATGCCTCTTCCTTATCTCGAGCTAGCCTAAGGATCTACCATATGTTATTAATCAAGGCTCTTGATAATCAATAAATGATTATCCAGTTCAATGCTACTCCAATAAAATCCCAAACTTGTACTTCAAGATCAATAATACATATAACATGAATATGTATCGCCTATTTGTAGAATGTCGATAATTGACTGATGAGCTTTTTGTTACTCAATCAAATATTTATTCCCTTGATTATGATAGTTTCTCTAATGGATTACATGCACTCGCCAGTGTCTTCAATATCCAATTAGCGAAACATATCGAGAGAACATATTATAATAACCCACAATATTAAGTTTTGTGTAAATGGAATATATCACAAGTAATCATAAGATAATCATGGGACTAATGTGATAATATGAATAAGAATTCAATTTTTTCCAATCAAGTCAACTAGAGACAAAAAAGTAATTATGGAAAAATACAGGGGTCAAAGTGAAAATATGGAAAAGTTTAGGGGCTAATTTGCAAATAGGCAAAAGTTGACTTAAACTTAATTTTGATGTCATAATAAGGAAATTTGGGAAATTTCATGGGTTTTAAATGATGTCATTGATGAGTGATTATTTTTGTAGGTTAAGTTATACAGTAAAAAAAATTGAGGGATCTAGTTGCAATTTTTAATAACTACGGTCAAAAGTCAACTTTTTCTTAAGTTATAAGACTTAAGCAATTAGAAATCATTTCATTTCTTTCTTTCTTCTTCCTTGTACCTGCACCTTGTCATGACCACATGGTTGCTTTCTTCCAAAATTCTGCAACCTTATTTAGCCATTAAAACACCTAACTCCTTTGACAAAAGTTAGAGCTTACGATCCTAGGAACAAAACCCTATACTTAGTTCACCTTGAAAGGCCTTGGATGATGAGATTCCCATCCTTTATGGCTTCGGTTATTGTTCATTCAAGAGGTTTGGATGAGTGGGTTTTGATAGTTAAAAGCTTGGAGATTGAAGCTTTGGTGATTTGGAATACAACTAAGGTAAGAAACTGCAATTTAAATGGTTGAAATGTGAAGTTTGAATTTAGGTTTTCATGAGATTTTGAAGGATTTTTGGTTATGAAAAATCATGATAGGTTGTTATTTTTTGATGATGGGATATGTTCTTTTATGGTTTAGGAGTTAAATGGTCTATGTAGTGGTCATTGGTAGTATGAAAATTGGATGAACCATTAATGCTAGGATATGGCCTTCATGTGAAAAATGCATGCTAGATGTTTGTTTAATATGGTTTTGATGATGGTTAGTAGTCATTGGTAAGTGTAGTGTTAAATGGACCAGTTGATAGCTATTGAATAGCTTGAAAAGTTGATGAACTTCCTAAAGACATGTTTCTGCCATTGAGTGAAAACAGGTGTAGTAAGTTTGTTAAATTTCGAATGAAGCTTGGTAGCTAATTTTAGTGATATTCCAGGTGTTGTTAAGGTGTGAGAGCCTTGCTTTTAAATAGTAATCATGTTAAATCAATATTATGAACAATCTTGGATATTTGGGGATAAATGGTCATGATTTGTATTGGGCTTGAATTGACATGTTAATTACGATGAGAATTAGTCCTTAATGAAGGAAATATGATTAAAACCAACTTAATCACCATGTGTTAAATTTGATGAAGTAGTTAAAATGTTGAACTTTGCTATTTTAACACTTGAAATGGAATTCTCATGGTGTTGGTTATTTAGTTGATAACCTAGATTGTGAACAAGTGATATTGTGCTAAAAGATCAAGTTTTGGACAAGTTTTCTTGAAATACAAATAAAGTTGGAAAAGAAGCATCAATAGGTAAGCTCTTGGTTTAGAAGTTTTACTCCTCTTTGTTTGTTCCACCATGGTCCAATTGGATTATAGTTTTGATGTGTGTATGTTGTGATGAATGTTAGATAGTATAATTGCATTTATAGAGGATATGTATATGTGAAGCTTTGATATGAAATGATAAGACATATGTATATTTGATTATGTGATTTATGAATAAGATAAGTATATTTAATGATTTGATTTGTGGATATGTGATTCTCTGGCCAGTAGAATGTGTTATGGTTTGAGGGTTAAGGAACTATGTGGTCTTCTCTCAATTTATCTGAGTTAAGGAGGCAGGTAGACTTTTCTTAGATGTGTTTTGTAGAGTTAAGGAAATGTGTTGTTTTCTCTTAATTTGTTTGGGATTTAAAGAGCCAGGTGGTCCTTTGCATATTATGAGCTATATGATGTCTGATATACTTTGTATCTGACCTTTCATGCAGGAAGTGAACTCATGGGTGGAGATTGATCCATAAACCATGAGTTTACTGAGATGTTGAATCTCACCCTGTTTGGGTACATGTTTTAGGTACTCCAGCAGCAGTAGAGGGGCTCTCATAGGGCAAGAGGCCTACACAAGGTTAGGAACCTAGCTATGTTGGGGATTTGACATTTTAGATGATTGTATATATTTTGGGGAGCATGTAATATTATCATGCACTATTATAACGTTTGATATATGTATCTGAGAAATATTTGTATTTATGATGTTATGGTTGGTAATTAAGGCATGTGAAGCTTTTATGGCCTTATACACTTTTGAGGTTGATTTATATATGTATTTATGCCTAATATGTTAGATATTGTAAGTATTGGTACAGAGCCATTTTCTATATGAATCGATGGATGGATTGTAGGCCCATTGTTGTTAGACTATTTGTTATATGTTTGGACTGGTTTTCTGGTTTCAGTTACTATAAATAACATTGGAATCCTTGGATTCTCTATATTACAGCAGAAATACTATCTGTAAGATTTTATCCAAAATGGTACACGTTGGTAGATTGGACCTCAATAGATACCAATAATCAAATAATCTTACTCTTGAAATACCGAGTTATTGGTCGTTAATAGATTGGACCTCGCCCGTTGGTAAATCAAAGAAGAAAATTATTTAATTACCTATTTATAGTAAACTCATGATTAAGAGCAATCACATAACTATAGTTAACTGGAGATTTGATACCTTATGACAGAAAAATAACCTTAATCAAATCTCTCGTTGATCCTCTTAATGTGAATATTAATTCACATCAATATTTTACAATGATTCAGAAAAAAATCTTTTCATAAAATATTATAGCCTAAATAAAACGTCTAACTTTATTTAGCAGCTGTGAACCAATTCATCAGTTATGAAAATCTATGATCATGTCCTCCATTAATGCATCCAAATGATTATATACTCCACAATTGATACAGACCTTAATGATTGCAAATTATGTGCACAAAATAATGAACAACACCTTGTTTGTAAAATTAAGAAAAAATTACATTATATCATTGTCTTACTCCAAGAGCACAACGAACACAATGTCTCCCACTTGCCTAGTGCAAGTTTGAGATTCTCTTAAGACCCAAAGAAGTAACATACCTCTCGAACACAAGTTTAGGCAGCCTCTTTGTAAAGGGTCTTCCAAATTCACCTCTAATGTGATCTTAGGTCATTTTCTTGAGCCAATATCCACTTGAAAAGTTGAATTTATGAAATCTTAGGTTTTCAAGACTCCCACTAGAATATAGTAACACATAATATCTCGTTCTCTGAAGATACTTGAGTACATGCTTGATAATAATCTAGTGTTCCTCTAGGTTTGATTGGTACCATCTCACTACTCCCATTGTGTGGTAGATGTCTGGTTTAATGCACAATATGGTATACATGAGACTACCTAATACCAAAGCATAAGGTATCATACTCATGCACTTTCCTTCTTGGGGGTCTTTAGAGGTTACTCCTTAGGAAGATGAGTTCCACGTCTGAGGGATATGATTCCCCCTCTTAGAAGTAAGAGTTTCATCAGTGTTAGTAGTCTGAGTAAATGTCGATAACTTATTCTTTAGGTCTTATAAGAGTTTTATACCAAGAATATAATTGGTTTCCCCAGGTCTTTCATATCAAAGCGCTTACTTAGCCAACTCTTTATGCCTGACAATACCTTCATGTTGTTTCCAATAAGGAGCATATCGTCTACATAAAATATCAAAAAAGCTACTACCTCCCATTGGATCTTTCTAAACATAAACACACACAACTCATCAAGGTTTGCTCAAAAATATATATTTTGATAACCTGATGAAACCTAATGTTCCATGACTTAGAGGCTTGCTTAAGTTCATAAAATGAACTTTCACAACTTGCATACCGTGTGTTCCTGCTTTTGGCTATAAACCCATTTTGGTTGTTGCATGTAGATATCTTCTTCTAAATTTTCATTTAGAAAATTTATTTTGATATCCATCAACCAAATCTCACTTAAAGATTTTCTCATAATCCACACCCTCTATGGGGTGTGATCTTTTGCCTCCAAACTAGCTTTGAAGAATTTTTCCTTCCTGCCTATCTCTGGATTGAGATTTAAAGGATTTTAATGGATTATTTTAGACAAAAAAATCTGTTGGTATTCAATTAGGATTTTAAAGGATTGAGAAAAAATCATGTGGTATTCGATTAGGATTTTAAAAGATTATTTTAGAGTCTATTCAAATCCGGTGGTATTCAATTAGCATTTTAAACAAAGGAAAAACAATATTATCGTATTCAAAAATCTGACGATTTTAATGGATTTTCTATTAGTGTAGATTTTGTGAGACTTTTTAGTGAGAAGTATAAATAGCTTGCCTATCTAACAATCTCATCCTAACCCATAGGATTTATTGAGATTTCTCTATTATAGTATCTCATAACCTACTCTAGCCTTTTCTCAAAGCCAATGTATGTTCTTTTTTTTTACTCTCATATATTTTCTCTGGTTTTGGTATTCCTCCTACGTGATTAATTGATGATTTATGGTTGTGCTTGTCATCTCTAATGATGTGTTCTATTTTAATTTTTTTTTGATATATTTATCGTAGAGTTGATGATAAACGTGTTTATTCTACAATTTATATATGTATCTGATCTCAATCAGAGACAACAATGTATATGCTCTGTTTTTGTAAGCTTGTGCTCTATTTTTTCTTCTTCTATATAATCATTAGCTTATTAAATCCTTTTTTTAATTGTTTGTTCATTTAACTATTTAATGTTGGTTTGGTTTACTCATTTGAAGATGGTAAATATTATATAATCATTCGGATTCGTGAGACTGGGTTGGTTAGTACTTATGGGTTATATAAATGGTGCCATGTTATCACTTTTTCATCCATAAACATTTGTACTGTGTGGAATTTGTACAAACAGTACATTTCCGATAAATATTTCTCAAGTCATAGCAAACATTATAACATATGAGATTCGTGTTATTTTTTGTTATCACTTCCTTTTTAATATAAATTGTAATTAGAATAAACGTATTTTTAAATTGTGTTGATATTGATCTCATTTAGAATTGTTTTAATTAATGTCTAGTTTTAATTTTATTATAACAAATGGTGGATTCACAACAATGAAACAAGAAAGAAAAGGGCAAAGAGAAAGAGAACTATGAATCTTAGACCATGGATGATACTAATGAGTTGTTGCACCTCTTGGTGGATGCTATGAACAATGGATTGCGTAATGCTAATGGATCACTTAGCAAGCAAAAGGTAGTAAAAGTGATACTTTGTCATCTTAATGCAAAGACTAGGTTTCCTAAAATTTATAATCATTACTTAAGTCGACTAAAGTGGTTGAAGAACCAATATAACAAAATGTCGACACTTATACATAACAACTGTAGCTTTGGGTAAGACATTCACTGCTAGTGATGAAGTATGTTAAGATTACTTGAAGGTGAACTTAATAGTTCATAATTTGTTTAATATATTAATAGCTTACTAAATTAGTACATTACATTATTTGTAATATGTTAACAATGAAAAATTTGTTATTGTCAGTCTTATCCAAGTCATAGTAAGCTTCGTGAAAAGAGTACAATTGATTATGAAGAATTTAAGATTTGTCTTTGGTGGTGCAACTGCTACTGGCAATGGTTTCATTGTATTAGGCATTAATGATATCGATGCTATAACTTTTGGAGAAGAAAATAGGGATTTCGGGGTGGAAAACTTTGTGTATGATATTATCAATGATGCCTTCAAAGCGCCAAATCAATATGAACTACTTGACCATCCTCCATCACCCCACCAATGTAGTCCTCCATCTCATTCCCCTATAGATTCGAAGGTTCGCACTGAAAATGCAAGTCACAATAAGCGAAGTAGATCTGAATATGAAGGGAATTCTTTCTCAGTTGAGATCAACAATCAAGCTAAAGTTCTAGAAAATCTTTCAATTGGCATTGAGACTATACTAGAAATTTTGAAAAAATATCCAACATAATGGAGAAAAGAGAGAGATAGAGAAAAAGAAAGTAATATTTTTGGCAATTGATTTGCTTAATATTAAAGCAAATAAGGACTTGTTCTTGATCATATCATTATAATAGTGCTTTTCTTAGATAAACTTCAAGCTAGGGTGATGAATATTTTGATCATATTGTCCTTTCAGGAACTACATTTTTTTATGCTATTTTGGTTGTAATTCGGTTGAAGTATTTGGGTTATAATTTGGTTAAACTATTTTGGTTGAAGTATTTGGGTTATAATTTGGTTGAACAATTTATTGAACTATTTGAGTTATTAATATTGGATTTATTTTCTTCTTTTTTAATTAATATCATTGCATTTCTTTGTTAATTTTTTTATTGACTCTTGTAATTTTGAATGCTTGTTAAAAATTCTTATGGTTTTTTAAAATCTTATAAATTCATATTGCCCTTTCAAATCTTATAGATTCTATTAAAATCCTTTAATATTCAATCTTACAAAATCTTGATTGTAAAAAAAATCTTTTAAATTTTTTTTTAAAGTCACTACAATTCTATATAGTCTTTTAAAATCTATAAGATTTTTTATCTCAAAATAGTTTTTAAAAATTTTAATCTAATACACCATCTTAAGAGAACCTGGATAAACTTAAGCATAGCGTGTGGCAAAAGAATTTTTCATAATCCACACCCTTTATTATGTGTGATCTTTTGCTTCCAAACTAGCTTTGAAGATTTTAACCTTCCTAAGTTCATTTATATCCTCTCTTTGTCTTGTAGGTTCTCATACACCTAGTCGGTCTTACCCCTCTAGGTCTATTATGTTAGGCTAATTTTCTTTGTAGTTAAGGTTAGATGGAACCCAATCAGACTTTACATTTGGAATAATCTTTAATGTCCAATTTCCTTTTATATCGCATGAGTTTTTCTTTTTTTCCATGAGTTTGATCTTGTAGATTGATCTATGGTGAGTGTATGATAATATGGAAGTTGGTACGTGAACCGTGTGTGGTAAATTCATTGTTAATTCTTATGATTCTAGGGATAGACATAGGTATAATCCAATCCTTACGATTCTTAGATTAATGCTTATTTTCTTTGGAGAACAACTGGGAAACTAGAATTCTTCAAAGAGAGTAAGGAATTAGGATGTCAAGAGATTGAATCTTAATTATCTTGGGGGAATCAACTGGCGATACGAAAAGAACTTTTAATTAAGAATTTTAATTCATAATATAATTGGGAGATTGGAGAAAATTGAAATCCTAACTACTTTCTTG